GCAGGCAGGAAAGCAGGCAGAAGAGCAAGGTGAGCACTGGGTCTGGGATCCTGGCATCTGGCGTCATGGCAAGGGGCCTACTAAGTTTCCGTGAGCAAGGAAGGAGTGACAGGGCACGACTTTTACAACTTCCCTCACCTATGGGTCCCAGCCTCAGCATGGGAAAAGAGTTAACACACCTGAGATGGGCCAGACTAAGGCTTCTAGCCTGGAGCTCAGGTAGACTAGAAGTGGAGAGGAGCTGAACTTGCTTGAGTTTGAGGCATTGAGACTGGGATGCGTTGGTTTAAGTAGTTAGCGGGATGTAGCAGAGCACTATGGGAATCCCTGGTCTGAGCAGCATTTAAGTAGTTAGAGTAGGGTGTGGTGACAAAACCTTTAATCCCAGAACTCAGAAAATCTCAGTGAATTCACAGCCAGTGTGGTCTACCTAATGAGATCGAGGCCAGCCAGTATTAAATAATAATAATGATAGTAGTAATAGATAATTGAATCAAAAAGTCACCTTGTGGTGACACACACCTTTAATCCCATCACTCAGGAGGTAGATGCAGGAGGATCTTTGTGTGTTCAAGGCCATCCTGGTTTAAACAGTGAGTTCCAGGACACCCACGGCTACAGAGAAACCATGTTTCAAAAATCCTTAGAAAAAAAGAAAAAGAACAAAGAGGGAGAGGGGGCCAATGGGGGGGCGGAGCTGACTCAGGGGTTAACAGCACCAGTCCTTGGATCTGGGTTGGGTTTCCAGCATCTACACATATGATGGCTCTCAAGCAGGAGAGGACAGCCACTTCAGGACTCAGCGGGCACCAGGTATGCACATGGTTCACATATATATATGCAATAAAATACATACAGAAAATCTAATAACTAATTTTTTTGTTGTTGTTTTGTTTTGTTTTTTTAGACAGAGTTTCTCTGTAGGTTGGAGACTGTTCTGGAACTCTCTTTGAAGAACAAGCTGGCCTGGAACTCACAGTGAACTGCCTGCCTCAACTTCCAGAGTGTGTGAGATTAAAGGTGTGTGCCACCACCAACAACAACAACACCTGGCTAAATTGCTTTCTTTAAAAGATCACTAGCTCAGGGGCTGGTCACCCACAATGGTCTGAACCCTCTTCTCATGGATCACTAGTTAAGAAATGCTCGTGGCTGGAAGATGGCTCAGCGGTTAAGAGCACTGGTTGCTCTTCTAGAGGTCCTGAGTTCAATTCCCAGCAACCACGTGATGAATCACAACCATCTACAATGAGATCTGGAGCCCTCAACTGGCCTTTAAGCAGACATTCAAGCAGAACACTGTACACATAATAAATAAATAATAAAAAAAATAGAAAGAAATGTCCCACATGCTTGCCCACAGGCATATGTTAGAGAAGTATTTTCTCACAGGGCTCTCCCCTCTCTGACTCTAGCTTGTGTCAAGTTGACTTAACAAGGGACAGGCCACAGGAAAGGCTGCAGGGCTTAATCAGACTGTCACTTGCTCTACCCAGAACATCTCTATATGGAATCAGAAGGTATATCCTAGCCTAGCATGGTTCTGAACACCTATACTCCCAGCACTCCAAGGCAAAGGCATATGGAACTCAGAGTTCAAGACCAGCCTGGTCTACATAGCAGGTTCCAGGACAGACAGGGCAATACAGGGAAACCCTGTCTCAAAAACAAAGAAGAGGGGGAGGGAAAAGGAATAAAGGAAGGAAGGAAGGAAAAAGGAAGAAACTAAGGAAGGAAGGAAGGAAGGAAGGAAGGAAGGAAGGAAGGAAGGAAGGAATATTTTACCAGAAATATAGAGAGGAGCTCATCTCTTTCTTGTGTAAATGGGAAAACTGGTTGTGTTAGATACAAAAACTATATCCCTGAATCTCGGCTGGGGGGTGAGGTAACGACAGGAGATGTTGCTGTCACCTCTACTTCCTTGTGCAGCACCTGCCACTCTTTTTCCCAGGACCATGCTCCCTTAGCTCGTCATTGTGAGTCCCACCCAGCATCCTCAGGGAGTTCCTTCCTATTAAGGATGTCCTAAGAGCTTCCAGGTTCTAACCAAGCTTTATGAGTCTGTACAAAAACTTGGAGGCAGATCTCATTCATTTCCTTACACACTCACTTCCTCCTTCATTCACCTCCTATCTTTCATCATTAATTCATGAGTTTGAGCTGCTAAATTTCCATAAGGAAAGACTAGTCACTCATTGGACAACTGCTCATCCAGCCACTAACTAGCCAGGCTGTAGCTAAATGCTTCTCACCCAATCTAAATCCAGAGTCCATCGTGAGTCCCAAAGGCTGAGCACATGAGCTTTAAAAGTTTTTCCTGTATCCACAGATATCCAGGCCTTTCCAAGAAAACAGACAGTGTTCCTTTATCCCTCAGAGTCATGTATGTGTCATGTATGCCACCTGTCAGTCTTACTCGCCCCTGTCTTTGTAACAGGGCTAAAAATTATACCAGTTGTCATTTATCAAATTTCACTTAGTATTTTTTATTCCAGCCCTAATTATTGAACCCAGGGCCTTGTACACGTTAGCAAACACACTAACACTAAGCTATATCCCCAGGCTTCAGAATTTCTACATCTGCCTATAAATAAATTACTGTAAACACATTTCTCAAATATACAAAAGCAAGGCATTTCCATTGTAAAAATCTCAAGCAGTGCTAAAGCTCACAAAATATAAAGTTTGGGCTGCAGAGATGGTTCAGCATTTGCAGCACTGACAGCTGTTCCATAGGACCCAGGCAGGATCAGATTCCATCTCCCACACTGTGACACTGACTGGAATCTGAGTTCCAGAGGATGATACCCCCTCTGGCCTCCTAGGGTACTGCATGCACACTGGTAATGATACACAGCAGGCAAAACACTAATATAGATTAAAAATAGAAGCAGGGTGGTGGTGGCACATGCCTTTAATCCCAGTGCTCGGGAATGCTGAGACATGTGGATCTCTGAGTTAGAAACAACCATGTTCTACAAGAGCTACTGCCAGGACGGCCTCCAAAGGCACAGAGGAACCCGGTCGGGGGTGGGGGCGATAATTAAAAATAAAATCTTAACAAGGCAGTGGTGCTGTACACCTTTAATCCCAACACATGGCCCGCAGATGCTGCAATCTCTGTGAGGTGGATGCTAGCCTGGTCTATAGATCGAGTTCCAGGCCAGAGAAGGATACACAGAGAAATGGTCTGGAAGGGAAAAAAACCTATACCTAACCAGCAACACCCTGCTCCCAGGAGCTCATATCCTTCTTAGAAACATTAAGGCAAAAACTAGGGCCCTAACTCAGGGTCTGGGCAAGTTCTCTACCACTTAGCTGCATCTCCAGCCCCTCTTCCCCCTTTTAAATTTGAATTAGATCTCAACTAAGTCACTCAGGCTGACTTTAATCCTCCTGCTTCAGATTCTTGACTAGTTCAGAGGATAGGACTGTACCACAGCACCTGGCTCTTCTAGATCTTATTGATATGTAGAGAAACACACATACACATTTTAAAATGTAAAGGTGAAGTTTGTTTTACAAACCAAAACTGCTCTGAATGCCCCTTTCCTCCCAACACTAAAAGACAGACACGATGTAGGTTTGCGCAGCAGATCCTTCTTCATGCTTAGGTAATGGGTGGTGTTCAGTGTGGGTTCTTATGTCTTTCAGAGCAAGCTTCCATAGGGCAATGGATGGGAACCATAGCTGAACCCCATCCAGCCCAGTGCACCAGGAGATGCACACCCCCCTGAGATTTAGTACACAGTCATCTCCGCACACTTATCTGTAGAATTGCAGCTGATCTGATCCTGAATACCAGACCAGATAGAATCCTGGCTTTATAAATATCCGTGGCATGAATGGATAGTGCAAGATCACCTCTGAAAGGGTGACATCTCTTCCACTCCCACTAACAGTACTGACTGAAATGCCAAACAAGTCCTTGCAGGGACTGGAAAGATGGCTCAGCTGTGAAGGGAACTGGCTGCTTTTCCGGAGGACATGGACTTAATTCCTATCACCCACGTAGCAGCTCACAACCACTCGTAACTTCAGTTCCAGAGGGCCCAACTCCCTAACAGATACACATAGAGAGAAAACACTAATGAACATTAAAAATAAGAAAACAATTTATTGCAGGCACTGAGCTTTGGGAAAGCCACTCTGTTCAGACCATCCCATTCTTGCTGCAGAGAAATTCAAAGCCTTAAACTATCTTCAGTGACACGCAGGGGACCTCTTGCTGCAGGATAGAACTCAGCTGTGGGACTTCTCTAGTGTCTGAAAAGGAAGGCTGGCCTTGAGTCCACTGCAGCACACATAGCAAAGACAAGGATAAGGAGTCTGTAGCTAGCATTCCTGACGATCCCCAAAGCATAGTCACCAGGATCTACTGTATGTTCAGTGTCTCACTGAGGGCAAGTCAGAGCTCCAAAATGTACCACATGCTCCTAGGCAGGGGGTCCATGCAATCAGTCACCATTGCAGTTGGCAAGAGCTTAGCCTCAGAACTGGTTTCCATCACTACTTCCCAGCCAGAGGCAGAGACCAGTCAGTGAAACTTCAGTTTTGTTTAGTGCTTGGCTATGGAGGTACAGTGGGATCTTGTCTGGAACGCAGCCTAGTGTCCATGCAGTTCAATGTCCTGTCTCCTCCAGGTACAGAAGTGCTTCTGTAGGATGGCAGAGAGAGCTGTCCAGTCAAGGTCTGCATTCCACCAGAACA